AAAAAAAAAAAAAAAATTTAATAGTTAATTGTAGGTTATAGAAATTTCACCTCCACAAAAAATTTGTACACATACATATGCATACAGACATATACTAAGAATATCTGTAATCGTTATTTTTTTTTTATGCTATACTTCATAACGACAACGACAGCACTTTCTGTTTTCTGGAGCCAAGCCCCTGACTTCCTGTCCCATCTGGCTGGCAGGGGACCTCTCAACCAGGGGCAGCTGCTGTCTGCCTGCAGGTCTGTCCCTGCACACCAGCTGGCCCAAGGCTGACCACTGACGGCCTCCTGTCACGTGCACTGGCCACCACTCAGCTGGAACTGTCCCTGTTCATCCCAAGGCTGATCTATCGTCTCCTTTTGCAAGTTGTGGGAGGTGAGGACAGGGGGCTGAAGTCCAAGGGTCAAAGCTGAAGGTCCTTGCGTGTGAGGTCTCCTCAAGACCCGTTTCCTTTGGCTGATGGCCCAGATGTCCCTGCCAAGGCCTGGGCCCAGGACCCACCTGCCAGAACCACTGGATCTGCTTGCTGTTCTTGGTGTAGTGCCGGTAGATGGTGCTCTTCTGCCAGTCGCTCATGTCTATCTCCTGCATGCCGCACAGCATCAGCTGGGGAGAGGCAGCAGTCAGCACCCCTGGCAGGCCCCTCCCCACGCATCGTCCACTCGCTAGCACATGACATTGCCCCAGACATGTTCAACTAGCCATTTCTGGTGTCAGCGTTAATAATATGGGTAATGTAAGTCCCTGTTTTCTTGAAACAAGTATCTGGGGAAAGGTGGGTCCTGAGATCCCAAATCAAACCCATCTGCCCTGCCGCAGTGGGAGTTTTATTGCTGAGTGTCTGTGGGTGCACAGTGAGCGCATCACAGAGCAGGATCACCCCAGAGGCAGGGGCTCAGGGTCCCAGCAACCTCAGACACTCACCTCCAGCTCTTTTTCATCAAAGTAGCGCAGCCACTCCAGCGGGGCCACCTCGTTGAAGCCATCCAGGAAGGCTTTGGTCTGCTCTTCCACGCCTCGGGTGAAACGCCAGTCAGTCAGCAGCCTGAGACCAAAGATCAGCCATGGGTGGAGGATGAGACCCATTGCTCAGAGGCAGCTCCTGGCCAGGCCGCGTGGCCGTTACCATGCAGGACCACCAGATCAGAAGAGCCCACTTCACACACCCAGACCCAGCCTGCTGGAGGCCCTAGAGTGCGGCCCTAAAAACCTCACAGTGACCTGCAGACACCAGAGTCTTTGAAATCATCCTCACCACCGCCACCTCCTGCTCCTGCCCACAACGCCAACTGAACCTGACGTATGAAAGTGTGGAGATAAAAAGACTAAACCAAGGGGCCTGAGGAACAGGCATGGAGAACGGGCACACGTGAGACGGTGGGTCTAGGCACGCAGGCCACAGACATCCTTTCGGCCTGGAGAAAGATGCAGACGTCTAAGCTTGACGCGACTTCAAAGAAATTCCACCCTGGAGGCTTGAAGTCTCCCACATGGGGAAAAAGTGCAGCCAGGAGTCGGTAACTAAGGACCTCGGCTCTGGTCCCCCAACTCGCGCCATCACATGACGGCCCATCAGCAGCCACCATCGAGGAAGATGGAGATGGCATCCACAGTGACCGATGGGCCACAAGGTGGGGGCCCATCTTGCTCTGCAACCAACTAGATCTCCACACCGCCCCTGGAGCGGAGCCCCCGGCGCCTGAGACTCACATGATGTACTCTTCCTTGTTCTCCTCCGTGACCCGGATGCTCTCGCCGCCCTCCTTCAGTTCGTGGGTGGTCACCTTGCCCAGGATCTCCATGTCCTGGATGAAGTACAGCTCCAGGCCACATTCTTCCAGGTTGTTCTCTCTGGGGGCACAGCAGACCAAGTCGGGAGATGTCTATCGTGGCAGGGTCTTTCCTGGATCCTGCTCTGCTGCCCATGGGACACCAAGGGTTCACGGGTGGCCTAGAATCCTGAACAGTGACATGGGACAGCTTCCTGACTCAAGGAGAGGATTCTAGAACTGTCCACGGGGGACCCAGAGGACATTCCTCTCCACTAGCTCTTTTAAAGGCTGGACAAGAGCTCAGGGGCCACACTGGCAGACAAAATAAAAGCCATCGGTACCTGCTCCCTGCCCAGAGACGTCCCTCCTATCAGTGCGGTGGGGTGAGGGGGGAGGGAGCTCACTTGATCCAGACAATGGAGTTGTAGAACTCAGGGTCGACGGACTCCAGGTCTTTCAGGGTTGGTCTCTTGTTGAGCATCCGCTTATAGAAAGGGAGGGTGAAGCCCGTGTCGATGAACTTTCCGTGGTACAGTGCCTGGGAAGGAAGAGGCACAGCACAGAGCTTGGGCCTTCCCTGGGCACTGCCAAGACTGGCTCTCGGATACTCGGTATCAAACTCCGCTACTGCCACCCGCCTTTCCTGACAGAACCGCAGCAGCGGCTGCCTCGGACGCAGCGGGAGGGCCTCGGGAGCAAACAACGCCTTTGTCCTGACTTGCACCTACAGAGGGACTCCCACCCTGCCCTGCAGACCGCAGGGACTGGGCAGAGACAGCCGGCGCGGGAACCCACGTCCAGGCCCGCATCTGCCCCTCACACTGGCCGGCTGGCTTCCAGCCTAGCAAAGGTCTGTCCCACGCTCACAGAAAAGGCTTGCTCAGAGCAGCTCCAGGTGGCAGCCCTGACTCACTGGCGCTCAGGGTGGGTGGCAAAGGCAGCCAAAAATAATGCAGACACCGCTGACAGCGAGAGCTGGCGGCCAATGGTGAGTAATAGTCTAGGGTTTTACCGGTCTGTCCTGTTGGCTGCTGGGCCAGGCGGGTCTCTAGACCTGGGAAGAATGTGCCCACTTCCAGAGCCCAGCACCTTGGCCAAGAGCTCCCCGACGATGGGAAGGGCCATATTTAGTCACAGGCTCCTGGGGCACTTGGGTCCTCCTAAGAGGGGAGCTCAGGAAGGCAGGGGAAGAAGCGAAGGAAAGTGAGAACTGAAACTTCTCAAGCTATGAATGTGGCTCCCGTGCTGGTCCCCGCTTCTCAATCCGGGTTCTCCACACTCCCAAGACCCTCAACAGGGGGCACGTGGCAGGACCTCCCTTTCCCTATTCACACCGTGTCCTTCTTTCCAGTTAAACACAGATGCTGGGAAAGTCCCTCCCCAGAACTGGCCCACTTTCTGACATACGTCGCTACACCCTGCACCAGCCAGTTTACGGTTCACCAGGAGGCAGTGTGGCGTGAACAGCAGCCCCCGTGGACTGGCGCGCCCTCTCTGGGCTCCACCCTTCGCCCCCATAGAGCTCGTAACCTAAAAATGCAAAAAGCTAGAGAGAGTTCTGGAGAAACCAGAGCTTTCTCAGTGGCTGTCCTGTAGGTAGTGAAGAGTTTCCACACTGCTTGTATAGGACTTGTCGAGAGGAAGCCCAGGGTCTCTGGGCCACAGACTTTAGGGTTTTGTTCTAAGCTAGTGTTGACTCCAAATGTCCTTCCAGAAGGCTAGTGTCTCAGTGGGACGTTCCCAAATGCCGTGACAGTGTCACCTCCCAGAGACAGGCAGCAGGTGGGCAGCTATGTTTTCACCTGGCCCTGTCATCCCAAGGCCCTCAACAGAGCACATATTTAATGTTCAGTAAAGTCTGTGGCCCAGAGACCCTGGGCTTCCTCTCGACAAGTCCTATACAAGCAGCGTGGAAACTCTTCACTACCTGCAGGACAGCCACTGAGAAAGCTCTGGTTTCTCCAGAACTCTCTCTAGCTTTTTATATTTTTAGGTTACGAGCTCTATGGGGGCAAAGGGTGGAGCCCAGAGAGGGCGCGCCAATCCACGGGGGCTGCTGTTCACGCCACGCTGCCTCCTGGTGAACAGGCCCAGGGCCTCCTCCAATGCTGCCCCTTCCTGGAGGTCTCAGAGAAAGAGCAGATTCCCCTGGTGCCCCTGGCACACTTCACCAGGAGAGGGAAGAGGAGGGAGAGGAGGGAACTAGGCAGACCCCTGGGGCCCCCTTACCATGGCGATGAATCTGCCTATAAAGCGGAAGTAGGTGAGGTGGTCTGGGTTGATGGAGGAGGCAGGGTTGATCTGCAGGCAGTAATTGTTCTTTCCCGCGTATTCAAACAAACAATACATAGGGTTGAGCACCTCGTGAGACAGGAGGAAAAACCACTCTCTGTGAGGGAAGAGAAAGAAAAGACAAGAATAATGGGTCCCTTGGTGCACATCTGCACAAGAGCTGTGACTCTCCACCGTTGTGTTTCAGGTAGTCTGGGGACACATGTCCCAGGGAGTCAAGCCCCGTGACAAGCGCCCGGGCTAACCTATATGAACAGCTGGTCAGTGAACAGGGTGGGCTCTGTTCTACACAGAATGGCAACTGCATTTGAGGATGATGTTTGGGAAAACGTGCCCATCGGCTCCCAGATGATGTGTTCCGAGACTTTACATCAGAATATCCAGAGCTTCTAATGGTAAAGGGGGTCCTTGTCACCATGCTCAGTTGCACAGGCTGTGCACTACACAAGGGCACGATGCATGTTTATTACAATAATTTTTCTGCAAAGGTTCTGTTTGAATAGCAACTACCCTGTTTCCGCTCTACCTGGGTGGGCAACATAACGTAAATACAGAGCACCACATTCCCAACCCCGATCCATGAAAACGTAATCCATGCTGCCTTCAGATTAGAAACCTCACACCCACCAGCTATGCCACACTCTTGCGCTTTGCCCTCCCTTTACCCCAGACCCCAACACCATCCCCGTTCCCACACTTCCACGCATTCATCTGAATCAACACCCGTGCCCTGGGTGCGAGCCTCAGGCATGAATTCAGAGTCCTTTTGGGCTTGAGCTAAACCAGCAAGGGGACGTCCCAAGGGGGCCAGTCCCCGGCTGCTGGGCTGTTTGTGGCTGGGCAGACGAGGAGTCCTTCGACGCAGAGGGTGCCCCGGTATCCTGTCCGTGGTTCTACCCTGTGGTAGAACAGCATGACGTAACCTACCATAGGGTAAAACCACTGGCAGGACACAGAGAGAGACACACACAGGGCGCGGCCACACCAGAGAAGCCCACCAAGCAGAGCCTGGAGAGGAGGTCACCACGGAAAAAAGGAACAGTCCATCCACGGGGCCAGTGCAGAAGGCCACACCACCACCAAACAGAGGACCAGAAGCAAGTTAACCCAACACCAAGCGAGAAGACATGCCCACACCGGGAGAGGTCTCGAGCGGAGAGGTCACCGCAGGCCAAGGTGCTCCCTCTCTCTGCCGGGGCCCTTCTGCCCTGCCGTCCGAGGCAGCATTTCCCAGAGGGCCTGTTAACTTTTATGGGTGGACCAGGGTGAAGGCAAGACAATGCTATGGACTCTTTTTAGGGTGACATAAGCTGTTACAGTGTTACTGACCCCAGACACGTGACATGCAGCTGAGCCCTGCTCAAGGCCCTGTGGATCCTGACACAGCTTATCCACATGGGGACACCTGACTTCACCTGCCCTGGCTGCCTTATGTGGAGGGGACCCCAAGGTCAACTCTAATGGATGACCACACAGCCCTGATATTCAACTGCCCAGATGCTGCTGGCCTGGTTGTTAAAATACAGAAACATGACACACTGGTAGATAACAGAGCCACTGTACTGAGCTTTCACCCCTCCCGGGAGTCCTCCGTCGCCTCATGACCCAGTTACTAAAGGCTTAACGCCCAGCCCATCAGGACCCCAGGCCCCTGTTCCAGGCTCAATGGACTGGCCACATGGATTCATGTATTTTGGTTTTTCATTTGTTTTGTTTTTGAAATGGAGTTTCGCTCTTGTTGCCCAGGATGGAGTGCAGTGGCACGATCTCGGCTCACCACAACCTCCTGCCTCCCAGGTTGGAGCGAGTCTCCCACCTCAGCCTCCCCTATGAGCTGAGATTACAGGCCTGTGCCACCACACCTGGCTAATTTTGTATTTTTAGTAGAGATGGGGTTTCTCCATGTTGGTCAGGCTGGTCTCGAACTCCCGAACTCACTTTGGGAGGCCTTGGCCTTGGCCTTGGCTGGGATTACAGGCGGGAGCCACCGCACGTGGCGGATTCACGTATTCTGAATGCCACACTGTGCCCACTCCTGAAGATGCATGAGAACTTTGGGAGGGAATGTGAGCAGGGGGCAGGCAGCTTTCTGGCCATGGACGCTGTAGCCTGGGGAAGCAGGGTACAGGGGAGCCTCCCAGGGCACTCAAGCTCACCTGGCAATGCCCCCATAGTCCAGGCCCTCCTCGCCACGCATGATGATGTAGAGCCGGCGGCGCAGGTCATAGGGTTTCATGTTCATGATCTGGGAAGACAGAGCATCGGGCCGGCCTGCCACTCTCCCTTTCACAGCAGGCAGGGGCGGGAGGGACGGGGCTCTAAGGCCTACTCTCCAGCAGACAGAGTCACCAAGACCCATGCCGTGGAAAGTCTGCAGTGTGGGTTTAACAGGCCATGCGATAGGAGATGGGGTGCTGGGAGGAGGGCGTCGGCCTGGCCCTGGTTTCAGGCACCATGATCTAACCTGTTGGAAGGAATCTTCAAAAAGCGTCTGCCTGGAAACACTGATCTTCACGTGGCTGGGTAGGGCATTTGACTGAAAAAAAAAAAAAGAAAATAACTTCAAATTGAGCCTCAAGTGATCATCTGTTCTCCTGTCTGTATGAACAGGCAGCCCCCAGCCCGATGGGCCAGGAGGGGACAGCACGTCCCCTAGGAATGAAAACTCGCTTCCTAGAGACAGCCAGTTCGGGGTTAGACAAGTGTCTGGCCCCCACCTAAGACACAAACATTCCGATACCTGCTGCTGTGCCGGGAACTCACACCGAAATAACTCAATAACCCCAGCTGCCACAGGAGCCCCAGTACCAGAACTCACATGGCAGAGGAAACGGAACTGGTGATACTTCCACCGAAAACTGCGGTCATAAGCACCAGGGGAGCCTTGCTTCGTCCTGGGAAGAGCAAAGGTGTTCGGTGGTTCATGCCATTTCTCAGAAAATGAACAACTTGTCTTTGTCAACCCTAAGGAAAGCTGGTGCTATGTTAATTTAAAGATGAGTAATATAAGGTGAGGAAGTGACTGTCATTAAGATCCTTGAAGAATAAAAAAGAAAATCTAGAAATAAAGCCAGACTTCTTGTTTTTAGAGAAACAACACTAGTGTCACTTGGAACAAACAGGATAGTCCCTTCCTCCCCATCCCATCTTATTTATTTGTTTGTTTGTTTTCTAGAGACGAGGTTTTGCTCTATTGCCCAGGCTGCAGTGCAGTGGTGTGATCATGGCTCACAGCAGCCTCGAATTCCTGGTCTTAAGTGATCCTCCCACCTCAGCCTTCCAAGTAGCTAGGACTACAGGAGTGTGCTACCACACCGAGCTAATTTTAAAAGTATTATTATTTTTTAGAAACAGGATCTCACTCTGTCACCTGAGCTGGAGTGCAGTGGTGCCATCATAGCTCACTGCAGCCTCAAACTCCTGAGCTCAAGGGATCCTCCCACCTCAGCCTCCCACATAGCTGGGACTATAGGCAGGCACCACCACATCCAGCTAATTTTTAAATTTTTTTTGTAGAGATGGAGTCTTGACATCTTTCTCAGCCTGGTTAATCTTTTTTATTCTTGTAGAAACAGGGTCTCACTATGTTGTCCAGGCTGGTCTCAAACTCCCGGACTCAAGCTATCCTCCCGTCCCCTTTAATATGACATCAATATTGGCCACTAGAGGGCAGTAAGGGCAGTAGAACGCACTGCAGGGGCCACCCAAAGTGGGCCTCTCAGAGCCAGAACAAGGACGGCCTGGGACTCGGCTCCTGGATGCTGCTGCTACCTGTACAAAGTCCTTACCCCGACTCAAACCCTGGGCGAGGATCCTTAAAGGTGGTGGTGCGGGTATTGTGGTCCACAAAGTATCGCACCCCCTCGCTGGTGTATTTCATCTCCCATCCTGGGGGCAGAGCTGGTTCCTGGATCATCCTGGAAACATGGGAAGAAAAGGGTGAAGGGCTGGCCCCACCTTCTGGACCTTGGTGGTTGGAGGCTGGGTCCTCAAAGTGTGGCTTTGTCTCTGCAGAGTCCATGAGGGACCTTGAGGACATGCACCCAAGAAGCATGACCCAAGTCGTGAGGACAGTTCTGCAGCACAGAGAGGTCATTTAATATCTCATGGCCAAAAACGCAGCCCTGCATGGATGGCACTGGACTGAATGGCCACCAGCAATCCTGAGACACTCCATGCCCCAGTACGGCTTCACTTGGGGTGTTGGGAAACCAGGATGCCCTCAACCTTTTTGCAATTATCAGCAGCCTGTACAATCAGTATGGAGACCAGCAACACCTGCCAGCCAGGCCACCCTCCATCCACCAGGAAGGTCTGTTTAAGAAATCACTTTTAAGTTGTCATCAGGCCAACAGTGTATCTGTGTAGTGAGAGTCTCAAGACACTTGTGTGTGGCTACAGGTCCCTGACATCAGCCCTCTGGGACGATGCAGTCCAAAACCACCTGCCTAATGCTGGAGCTGCACAGAGACCCAGCCTGGCCCGGCCCCCCTCTCAGCCCAAGTCCTTACCCCTGGGTCCGGGGGTCCTCCCACTGGGTCGTGCGAGTGTTATGGTTCACGTAATACACCCGTCCATTGTCTTGTCTCTTCTCTGCCACATGAGAAGAAAGAAAGAACCATCAGATTCAAACATGGAGAGCCGGTGTCCTTTCCCCGCGGCTCCCACCTCCTGGATGCTGGGTCTGAGTTTCTCTCCCTGTTGTCAGCCTGTTAGAGAAGAACCAGCCAAAGCCGAGCTCACTCACACTTGTCACTGGGAAAGGGACAAAGAGGGTCCTTCCTTCTTGTTGTTGGTGGTGGCGAGGGGGGGTGTGTGACACATTTCCAACTCGAGATGAAGCACTTCTTTGGTTGGTTGGTCAGTTGGAGGGAGGGGGTGGTGTGGCCACCCGGAGGGAGCAGCACAGCTCAAACCAGAGGCATAATTGCTCCCAGCTGTGTGCAGCACGGAAGCCAGGCAGTCCCCAACCCGCCAGGCCCGCCACCCAAGTCCCTCACGGCTGATCCCTGGTCCTGGGACCCTGTGCACTGCATGCAGCTGACCTGGGTGCCTCTGTCCCACAGGGCATGGTCCTTATGGGGTAGCTGCATCTCCCTCGCATCTCTCTGATCAGTGCTCTGCACCCTGCGCCCCTGCACCCTCCAAGTTCTCCCTCTTCTCCCACTTACAGACTAAGTCTTGTTCTAAAACTCTCATACCCTGGCACATCTCCTTCTTGCTTATGAGCAAATAAATGCTATCTGGGGCTGAGGACACTTACACTGCCCAGCCTCTTCTTAGACATGTACCTTTTTTTTTCTTTTTTATATAAAGACAGGGTCTCGCTATGTTGTCCTGGCTGGTCTCGAACTCCTGGCCTCAAGTGATCCTCCCGCCTCAGCCTCCCAAAGTACTGGGATTACAGGCAATAAGCCACCGTGCCTGGCCTGCCTATCCTGTTCTTACACCTAAGTATGTGCTTTGAGACAGGGGAGTGTTCATAGAGTGGGGCTGGGCCACAAATATACTTTTCCTCTGCTCTCAACAATCTCTGTTGTCTTGCCCTTTACTGATACACTGATAAGGGCTCTGGGGTCCCCAAGGGAGGAGTCTGGGCTCCAGGGGCAGACCCAACCCGAGCTGGCGATTCTGGACCTTGAGAGGGATGGAAAGGGGTAACCTCTCAGCTCCAGGTAGACAGGGGGAAAAAAAAACTAGGGGGTAAAGCTCTTGGCCCAAAAGAGGTCACCTTTCCCAGGAAGTTCCTGAGCCTTCAAATCTGTTTCTCTCCTGAAAACAAATGATGCTAATGGCTCTCCTTTTACAAGACAGAGTAACATTAAAGAAATAAAAAATAATCAGTTCCAGAAGCTACAGGGAACCCGAAAGCTGAAAAAGGAGCAGAACAGGAAAGAGCAACAACCCCCTCCTCACTCCCTACCAAGACTCGAGCTGCAGTGCTCCCAACACCAGCCCAGGGCCTCAGTCTCCCTCCCACTCTCTGCCTTACCTGGTATCTATGACTCGTCTGAAATTTTACAAACAGACATTATTTGTCAATCATACGTCGATAAAGCTGGAAAAACAAATAAATACAATAAAATAAAAATAAAGACAGGCTGGGCACGCTGGCTCACACCTGTAATCCCAGCACTTTGGGAGGCTGAGGCAGGAGGATCGCTTGAGCCCAGGAGTTTGAGACCAGCCTGGGCAACACGGCAAGACTTCATCTCTTTTTTATAAATACAAAATAAATAAAAGGAAGACAAAAGGAAAGAAAGAACAGGAGGTGCCCAGAGCTGTCAGGGAGCCACCACCACCTCAGAACACACAGAAGGAAGGCTTCCCAAGAGGTTTCCAGGGGAGGGGGCCGCTCCCAGCCCAGAAGCTACTGCTTTGAACTAGATCCTCACGTCTGCCCTGTTAAGGGCCAAAGCCAAGGCTAACCACAGGGCCAGGGGGATCTGTCCAGCGGGCCTGAGGCCTGTGTCGTCATTTCTGGCACTGCTGCTGCGTGGAGGCCTCCCAAGGCCAGCTGACTGCCTCGCAGCCTTCAGTCTCAGCGGGGGGGCTGGGAAAGACCTTGAAGGAACACCGGCTCGACCTCATTTTAGGAGCAAATGGACTCAGACGTATTCAGCCACAGGCCCAGGGTCAGGGCCACCGAGGGCAGATGTGGATCTCAACCCGAGGTGTCCTGAGTCCCACAGCAGTGTGTGGGGAAGATGTGGGGTCTCTCCTGGGGCAGCAGAGAGGGACACCAGCAGGCTTGGTTAGCAAGCTGCCGCTCAGTGCCATTCTCACTTGGTCTGGCTGTTCTTTCTGTTCATTCTCGGCGAGCCCTGGGGAGGCGGCCCCTGCCACAGCCCTGGGGCAGCCAACACAGATCCCCAAGGATCTGCAATTCAGAAGGAGCCCTGGCCTTTAGCCAGAATGTTCTTCCTCTTAATTTTGGACTGTAACAGTTTTGTGGGCTTTTTTTCTGATTGTTCATTAACAGCATCGACTCTGACCACGGCTCCTCCATTTCCATCTCAAAAATTTCCACACTTAGCATTCGAGAGCTGCTTTCAAGTCTCCATCAGCTGTGCTTACCTGGTGACCATCACTCAGCAGAACTGGCATGAAAACCCACTTGACTGGGCTACACCACCTGCCTCTACAGAGCCTGAAACACACTAGAAGTCCCCGGCTTCTAGGCCGCTGGCCACCAAACAGCAGTACAGATTCTTGTTTAATCTGACGCATTTTCCCCTGCCTACTGATGAGGCAGGGTCTTCAGAGTTTTACTCTCTCACATTGGAGCTGCTGCCAATCTCTGAGATACCAATGACCTTTCTTTGGTCCAGGGAGCCATGTGGGGCAGCTATCTGCATACGGGATCCCTGAGCTGAAAGTCAACAAATATGTGGAAGCTTCACTAAATGATATCTCCAACCAGAAGGACCAGAAGGCCCTTCTAGGACACTGGACTGCAGTGCTCATTCACTAAGTGGTACCCTGCAGGTATAAGAGGGTTGACACAACCTCTTAAATGACTACCCGAGAGCAGATGTGTCTGCACCGAGAAGGTCCAGCTCCAAAGCTACACGTTTCCAGGCATCAGAAGCCCATCCTATCATTGTCAACTTCCCAGGATGCACCTCTCCATCTTTGTTGTCGAGTGCACCCCCTCCCAGTTTCACACCATCTGTCAACACCACCATACCAACGTTTACCGTCTTCTGCTGGCCTAATCCATAAATGAAACGCAACACATGCTGGTTCCCGCAAAAACTGCCTTCTTCCGCTCCCAGTGACTCTTACAAGATTAAATAAAACTCTGCCCCAGCTCTCTCTATCAAATGCGCTAAGTCTCATCATCTCTAATGACCCTTTTTGCATGGCTACTCCTTCCTAGAATAGCCATGAAGCCTATAATCTCTCCTAAGTCATGGGTGTCCATCCCTTAACTCACTGTTAGCAAATCACGTCAAGGACCTGGGATAGGTAAGAGGCGGCTACCAAGGGCGAGGAGAAATCTACACGGCGTTATTAACTAGCAGCGATGCGTTTCCAGAGTCACCACCTGGCATTCAACTCTCGTATCTGCTTGCCTCTGGCCTCTTTCACAGCTACGTCAGAAGTAAAAAGGTGGCTTCTATTAGTCAAAATTAGACCGAAGTCCGCCAACATCTCAGCTGCAAAGAAAGATGTGTTAAGGTGGATCATTCCAAGCATGTGGTCACAGACCTGAAACAAAATTTGGGAGTTAGGCAGTGTCCAAATATCTTAGTGGTAGCATGGACACTTGAGTAGACACCTTGAAACTCAAGACCAAAGCCCAATAGTCCCCCAGCTGCTCGGGGACATCTTTCTTAGGGTCCCACTCCTTTAGCCATGGTGGGTTTGGTGAATGCTCCGGTGGTTCGGTGGAGCTTGGTTACTTTCCCAGCCGCCAGGCTCCATCACCTGTAACTGCTGTGGCGGGGCATGCCCAGAGAGTGTGCTGGAGAGGGGAGAGACGGAAAAGAGACGGACAAGAACAGGGAAGGAGGACACGCGGGAGGAGAGGACAGAGCACCGTGGCTGACGGAAGGCCGAGGGCCGGGAAGAGAACTCAGTACTTACCCCAGCCAGGAGGGAGGGGGCCCAGGGGATCATGGTCAGTCGAAGCACTCGAAGACTAAACACAAGAAACACAGCAGAACACAGAGGTTACAAAAAGCCACTGGTGAAAAAATAAATCAATCGATAAAAAATAAAAATGCCAACGACTCGCTTCCGCATTGGAGCGCTCTGCAGGGAATGCAGTGGGACTTTAGGTAGCATCTGCTCCTCTCAAAAGTCTCTAGTTTTTGTTTCGATTTTTACAGAAAAACCAAAAAAGAACCCTGTGCACGGAGGGCCCAAGTGAGTTTTGGAAATGGTAGAGCGATGGGGAGGAGGCAGCACGCCGGTGAAGGTGTGCCAGGGTGGCGGAGGCAGGGAGCAGCCGCGGTGGGGCAGAAAGGCCCGGGAAGCAGGCTCGGCCCAGTGCCTCCGCTCAGCTCCGGCTCGAGGCGGCCAAGGCGACTGAAATCACCACCACCTCCAACTTTCTCCAAGAACCACACGCAGGAGGGGAAAAAATATCGCAGGCCTTTCCAATGAAATCATTCCCACAAGCCCTGCCCACGCCCAGAGCTTCCTGGCTGGGGCCTGGCCCTCCTCCCTCCACCTCAGCATCCCCCCCAACCTCCCATCTGGGTGTGCAGCGTCCACCCAGACTGAGGGCACATTCATGCCCCAAGCCCTCACCTCCCCCAGGAATGTTTTCCTTCCCCTTCACAAAGCACCTTTATTCCTCCCCTGCCTGAACCTGAAGTTGCTCAGTGTTCTGTGTTTGTCTGGGGGGGGTTGGGGCTGGGGGTGGGGCAGCAAGACAGAAGGGGAGACAGGGGAAAGGGGCAACCGGCTCCAGGACTTCAGGGTCGCTGTTTACATTAGAATCCCCCCCCCCCCGCACCCCCTTCAGCCAAATTCTGCTTCGAGGTCCCTGGGGATGGACTGCAGTGGACCAGGAGTTCTCATATCCTGCAGGGAAGGGGGGTGCTGTCAAAAAGTTCTGGTCATTAAATAAAACAAGTATTGTTCCCCTCTTTCTTCTTTTCTTTTTTTTTCTTTCTGAAGCATTTTTATTTTACTTACTAAAATGTGATCGTTATAAGAGGGGATCAAGTTCTAAATGCGGACTTCAGGCTGCTGGGCTGGCCCCGTCTGGGGGTGCCGGAGCCACACACGGGCAGGAGGATGAATGGGCTCAGTCTCGGCTTGAGAAAACATTGGTGGAACTCAACTGCCAGCAAGCCCCCTTCCACAGCCCTCCCTCCACCCCCAGCTGAAAGGACAGTGAAACTTTCTTTCCAAGGTGGCAACACAGGCCCCTCTTCCAAGCAAGTTCCAACAAAGATGTTTAAGTCTTGAAACCATAGGCTCCTTGATAGGACGGAGCCCCCTTTCAGGGCAGGGCCTCCTGCCCACACAGAACGCAAGTGCATGGAGGTGGGGGAAGCTCACCTTGATTTAGGGTCCCTTATCATTTATCTAGAGCTTAAAATTCTCCATCGCAAATCATATTGAATCATTACTGAAAAAAAGCTCCCGAATTCACAGAAGTCATGTGGGCGTGTGTCTGTGTGTTGGGGGGTTGGGGGAGATAGGGTACAGTATCTCATAAAATCCAACTCTGTTTTGTAGTTAACACATTAAAAACATTCAGCAACAGAGGCATGGGAACAAATGTGAAAACACACGTATTCTACATCATGGAGCCAAAGGCACTTGGTAAGTGCTGAGCTACAGCAATGACCTTGCAAAGGGGAAGGACTATAGAAAAGGTTATTTTAAGACATTAAAAGAGGACGCATTTGGTGTAAAAGTGTTTGCTGCTTCAGGTCTTGTTTTGAAGTGAGTAGATCATCTATAAAGTGTTCAGGGCTCTCATGGGAAATCGACAACCAGCTGGTACCAACCTGGCTTCCACGGGGGCACGGTCATCTTTTGCTTAATTCTACAAATCAACAGACCAAAAAGGTCTTTACCAACAGCCTCCCTGACTAGCACTGAACTAGGATCAGAAAATACTGATCAGCCCCTTTCTGAATCCTTGCCTTTTAAAAAAAATCTCAGGCTTCATGCAACGTAGGCTCTTTTGTTAAAGTGTTTTTTAAAAAATTTCCTTGGTATCCTGATTATTATTCTATCAGAACGCCCCCCGCACCCCTCCACCACACACATCTATAAGAATTGAGGAGAAGAGGAGGCAGATAGGAAAGGGAGAGACACCAGAGACTGATAAACACAAACAACACATATTAGGTTGGTGCAAAAGTAATTGTGGTTTTTGCCATTAAGAGTCATGGCAGCTGGGTGCCGTGGCTCAGGCCTGTAAACCTGGCACTTTGGGAGTCAGAGGCGGATGGATCATTTGAGGTCAGGAGTTCAAGACCAGCCTGGCCAACATGGGGAAACCCTGTCTCTGCTGAAAATACAAAAATTAGCCAGGCATAGTGGCAGGCACCTATAATCCCAGCTACTCAGGAGGCTGAGGCAGGAGAATCGCTTGAACCCGGGAGGCAGAGGTTGCAGTGAGCTGACATCACGCCACTGCACTCTAACCTGGGTGACAGGGCGAGACCCCCGTCTCAAAAAAAAAAAAAAAAAAAAAAAAAGGAGTCATGGCAAAAATCACAATTACTTTTGCACCAACGTGATAAAATCAGAATCAATGGGAGCTGATCCTCACAACAATTTACTTCTTATTGTTAAATCGAAGCACTTGACGATTTTGGATACATCTTTCCTCAGGCACACAGTACAAGTTGAAAAAGAAAGAAAGCCAGAAGGGAGGACGTGAACAAGGAGAAATGAAAAATAAAAACTATGCATCATGGCCAGAAAACCAAAAGCCAAAAACCTCACATCTCCAATGAGCGAAACAGCTCCCTCCTCTTCTACCACATTCCCCTAAAATGAGAGATGTCAAGGTGTTACGTGGAGCAGAAAAGGATGTAGATGGGGGAAAGCAGGCCTCTGTGGCCAGAAGGGAGATCCTGGACATTCTCTATCACTAGGAACAGAAAAGAACACTGGAATCCTCTTCCCGTGTAATGGTCCCTGGGTTGGGAGATCTGGGGTGCAGGCCATGAGCCAGAGAGCTCATGAGAGTTCAAGTCCCTTGGGAACTAAGCACGAAGTTCCAGTAATATTTTAAGATACAAACTCAGAAATAAAGAATGTCTAGCAAATACAGCTGAGAGTAAGAAAGGTCTGGGAAGGGCATAAAGGTTGCAGCGTGGAAGGCGGGCATTTTTTTTTTTAAGGATGCACCAGACGGACGCAGAACAAAATCCAGGTGCTTGAGAATTCAATGCAAAGGGCTCTCTGCAGAGTAAGAAACAAGTTGTCTGTTTCTCGATAATGGACTCCACACCCTAAGAGCCACAAAATCTGTTTCTTTTCCTTTTTTTTTTTTTTCTGGATGGAGTCTCACTCTGTCGCCCAGGCTGGAGTGCAGTGGCGTGACCTCAGCTCGCTGCAACCTCTGCCTCCTGGGTTCAAGCGATTCTCCTGCCTCAGCCTCCCAAGTAGCTGGGACTACAGGTGCCCGCCACCACACCCAGCTAATTTTTGTATTTTTAGTAGAGACGGGGTTTCACCATGTTGGCCAGGATGGTGTCGAACTCCCGACCTCAAGTGATTCGCCTGCCTTAGCCTCCCAAAGTGCTGGGATTACAGGCGTGAGTCACTGCGCCCGGTCAAAATGATCTGTTTCAATACTGCAGAGAGAGATGCCCCAGAAGTTGCCGGCCATGTGATGGTCCCGTCACAACAGCACAACGTGCAAGGCTGTGCCGGGCATCTTCAGTGAGTCCTAGCAGGAAAACGACACAAGAGGGCAAAAGGAAACTGCAAGGGTGAAACAAGCAAACGAAAAGATACATGATGATCATGGGCAACATTAGCACATTCGTGAGTTAGGAAAGGGAAACATGGCAGAAAAACTAAGAACTAGAATTTAGAGGAACTGGAATAGGTGTGTGTTGAGGCAGACAGCAGGAAGGAATTACAGGAGACTGCAATCTGGGATTCCCTTGATTTCCATTTTGAACTCTATTTCATGGTCTCTGCAGTACAGCAAAGAAGAACAAGGTCTCAGTTGAAGCCCAGCAAGAGGAGGAGGGGAGGCCGCTAGTCTGGTATTGGATCTTAAGTCTTCCGAGTCAAACTCTGGGCCTAAGCCAAACCCCAAAATAACTATATGAAAGCAACCCTTCTTACTTGTAACCAGGACATGGCACCATAGCAAACAAGAGGAGAAAACCAATGCCAGAGGGGGAGGAAAATCAACAGAGAGACATTGAAAGCAGACCAAAGAAAGATTCCTGCCACATTTTTCAATATGAGTCTTGTTTCATGGAGAAAAGGTAACCATCACCTCCATGCAGAACCCTCCCACATCCCCAGCGAGGCTGAGAAAACCATTTTAGAGTATTCAGAAAGAACAATTTTTTAGTGTTCAATTTTTACTTCTAGGGAACCCTCCAAGTCAAAGTTCTACCTCTAAAAACCCAGAATAATGTTGCTAAGAGAGGCAGGCAAAAGGAAGGAAGACTCCAAAAGACCAGGCAGATGTGAGCTCCAGAATCTGGGACTCTTCCCTTTCACACACCAACATCTTGATCAACCTACAGAACCTAATTGGTGGCTATTAAGGGGAAAAAAAAAATTGCTTTAATGCATCTTATTTTATTCATTCATTTATTAAGGCAGGATCTTACTGTCATCCAGGCTGGAGTGCAGTAGCACGATCATAGGTCACCGCAGCCTCAGACTCCTGGGCTCAAGCGATCCTCCCACCCCCAAGTCTTCCGAGTTGCTGGGATTACAGGTGTGTATCAGAATACTCAGTTCAATTTTTTTTTTTTAATGAGAAAAGTTGGATAATCAGGCAGACAAAAACCATGTGAAACTCCTAAAATATGTCCTTGTCTCTAAGTCAAAAGACAGATAGGTCAAAGAAGAAAGATGCCCCAGACCTTCCCAGTTTTGCAGCCACAGCCACCCAAGAAAATGGCAGGCAAAATCTTTGGGGCCCAGCTCAAAAGGAGCAATCACTAAAATGTGGTGAAAGACGAAGATTCCATCCAATTCTGAAACATGCCAGTATTGGATGTCAGGCATGTGTGGCAGGCATGGGTGGGAAGCCTGGCCCAAGAAAGTGTGCAGTGCTGCACTGGGCTAGACAGTGGGGCCCTGGCTGGAGACAGGCATGACCATCGACCCTGGAGGCAACTTACTAAGACAAACACCACACTTTCTGCTCACCCCTGCTAAGGAAACTGAGGCCCTCCATGGTTTCCTCCCTGTATGACAAGCAATCCATCCCCACAGACAGAACTAACCAAGGGAGATGCTACAGTGACTTATGGCTGATGATCAAAAGTCGGAGGTCCATCGGCTGGGTGCAGTGACTCACACTTGTAATCCTAGCACTTTGGGAGGCCAAGGCAGGTGGATCGCCTGAGTCCAGGAGTTCAAGACCACCCTGGGCAACATGGCAAAACCCCATCTCTACTAAAAGTACGAAAAATTAGCCAGGTGTGGTGGTGCATGCCTGTAGTCCCAGCTACCTCAGGGGGGCTGAGGTGGGAGGATCGCTTCAGCCCAGGAGGTCAAGGCTGCAATAAACATGATCATGCCATTGCATTCCAGCCTGGGTGACAGAGAATGAGACCCTGTCTCAAAAAAAAAAAAAAAAAAAAAAAAAAGTCAGGGGCCCAGCTCAAAACATTTCCAGCCTGGAAGGCACCATCATACCCTGTGTTAGTTCTGCTGTAGATCCCAACCTTCACACCTAAAGTATTCTGAGAAAAGATAATCAGCCAACTTGGCAGTCCCACGTCTCCCTACCAAAGAGGCTGTGCGGCTGGGCTTCCCCAAGTCCAGGTCACTGTGGACCCTCTAATGGGATGGAGACTCCAGCAGGTGGAACTGGGAGGGTTCCCAAAGGGACACAGTATGGGAGACTGTTCAGGCAGTTAGTTTGAAACCAGAGCACCCAGAATTCTGGACTAGAAAATATAAATGTGGGTCGGGTGTGGTGGCTCACATCTGTAATCCCAGCACTTTGGGAGGCCGAGGTGGGAGGATTACCTGAGGTCAGGAGTTTGAGACCAGCCTGACCAACATGGTGAAACCCCATCTCTACTAAAAATACAAAAAATTAGCCAGGCATAGTGGCGTGCATCTGTAATCCCAGCTACTTGGGAGGCTGAGGCAGGAGAATCACTTGAACCCAGGAGGCGGAGGTTGCAGTGAGCTGAGATTGTGCCACTGCACTCCAGCTTGGGCAACAAGAGCGAAACTCCATCTTGAAAAGAAAAGAAAAAGAAAAGAAAATTTAAATGTTGATGGGAATGGTGACTCATGCTTGTAATCCCAGCACTTTGGGAGGCTGAGAAGGGCAGGTCACTTGAGGTCAGGAGTTCAAGACCAGCCTGGCCAACATGGTAAAACCCCCATCTCTACTAAAACTACAAAAATTAGCCAGGTGTAGTGGCGGGCACCTGTAATCCCAGCTACTTGGGAGGCTGGGGCAGGAGAATTGCTTGAACCTGGGAGACAGAAGTTGCAGTGAGCTGAGACTGTGCTACTGCACTCCAGCCTAGGCAACAGAGCAAGACTCCATCTCAAAAAAAAAAAAAAAAAGAAAAAAGAAAAAGAAAAGAAAATTTAAATTTACTCTTTAGGTAATGACCACAAAAGGTTTTGAGCCAGTAAAATGGATGCAATGACAGTAACATCTGAAGACTGCTCTGGAGGAAATAGGCCAGATGGACTGGAAGAGAGAGAAGGTCAATGGAGAGAACTTAGAGGCTGCTCTAGCAGTTCAGATGGGAAGGGGCAGAAGATGATCAAGCACCAGACAGGAGGCTCAGCTAGACTAAAGATAAACTTTTTCTGCAAAGGGTCAGACAGTAGGCTTAGGCTACTTTAGGATTTCTGAGTTACAGTCTTTATTGTGATACTCAACTCTTTTGTACCACGAAAGCAGCCACCATTAATATGTAAACTGCTGGGTGTTCTTATGTTTCAATGAAACTTTATTAACAAAATGAAGTGGCAGGCCAGCTTGGCCCATGGACTATTATTTGCCAATCCCTGATCTAGATGAACCCAAGGATCTTTCATCCTTGAGAATCTGTCAGATAATAAAGATCTAACAAAAAACAGTAGCTGTTTTTGTTTTGTTTTTAAGAGACGGGGGTCTCGCTATGTTGCCTGGTGATTGCTTTGATCTAGAAAGGTGAGGGATGGGAGAAGTTAAAGCTGACTTTCAGGGTGCAAGTCAGGGAAAATGGACTTGAATGAAGGGGGCAGAAATGAAAGCCGGTCTTGGAAGAAAGATGGGCAACTCAGTTTTAGACATGTTGATTCCTTAAACACAGAGGCTAGACACGGAGCTGCTGAGTGAGGAACGCTGGAATTTGAGGAATTTCACTGTGATGAGTAAAATCTCCAGGGGCAGAGCGCTGACGTTGCCAGACGCTGTTTTCCCTGCTCACCAAGCAGGTCAACAGAGAACGCGGTGAGGCTGCACATGTGCAAGGGCAGGGAGGCGCCCCCACCTCAGGCCAAGCGCCTGCCCTCTCACCTGGTAGAGGAATCTTTGGCTGAAGTGCTGCATGGCCCCCTGGAGCTGATTCCGCTGCGACTGCCACTGCTCATAGTTACGCACGTACTCCGCGGTCGGAGGCTGCCAGGTGGTGGTCCTAGTATTGTGATCCACATAGTAAAACCTGCCTCGGGGATCTGTGCGTTTTTCCCAGCTGGAAACAGGAACCTCAGAATGAATATAATGATGACCCCATTCCCACCCCCCAATTCTAGAAAAGTCTCAGAATGCCTAGCACAGCCGGGCAGACCCTGTCACAGAGGCTGCTGGGGCTTAGCTAGTGATAGCAGACATCTGTGGTTGCCTCCGCAGCACCCAAACCCTCCTTGCCATTAGCTCTCAATTTCTAATTTGGGGATCCATGTGGTTCTGGGGAAGCTGACTCTGTTCCCAACCTCAGAGCTGCATGGTTGCCTGGACCAGAAGTGCACATGTGATGTATGCTGAGCCAGCCACAGCCAATCTCAGGACTTCTGCTAGCAAATCTAGGAAAACTAACAGTCGCTCATCTTTTCTGAATATGACTGAGTAAGCATGCGGTCCTGGGGGTCACTGGCTATTATTTAGGACCCAGAGACAATAGGAAGTTGACCCAGTGGATGGCAGAGCAGAAAAATGGGAGAAAAGCCAATTCCTTGGTGATATTGTTGAGTAGCCCAAGCTTCGCTTGGAATCAGGATATCTAGAATTTTCCGTTACATGAGCCAATACATTGCCTTCATTATTTAAGCCAACTTTGATAACTTTTGTTACCTGCAACTGAAACTCTCCTGATATAAGGCGCCAATGAAAACGTGTTGTATGGTCTTTGGCTTTGTTTTGTTTTGAAACAGAGTCTCACTGTTTATATTTTTAGTGGAGATGGAGTTTTACCATGTTGCCCAGACTGGTCTCGAACTCCTGGACTCAAACGATCTTCCCACCTCGGCCTCCCAAAGTGCTGAGATTACAGGCATGAGCCACTGCACCTGGCCTCGATGATTTTTTTTTTTTTTTTTTTAACTCAAGACCTCCCTAAAAAGGGTTTTCCCTCAAGTGGTTCCTAGGACCCACAGTCAGTTCCCAGGTTTTGTCTGGATTCTGCCTGCTGGAGTGCCTCACCTTCATGACTGGCTGTCACCCTTCATTCAATTGAATGCCACAGCTCTCTCCCCACACCCAGGCCTTTCCTCAGTTTCCTCGTGTCAGTTCTCCTCCCAGGGATGAAACCAGGCCAACATCATTCCCACTGCTATCAGTCAATCACTCAGCCTGACTACTGCTTTTTCACTGTCTCCCTGCCCCTGAATTTCCATTTTCCATTCCTATGTCCAGATCTGTATCACCTCACCCCTGGACTACTGCACCTACCCTGGAATTAACCTCCCCACTCCATCCAGCCTATAAACAGCCATCAGAGTAACCCACTAGACTGAGCCCTTGGGTCACACTCCTGCTCAAAAACTTCAATTGATCAGCCAAGGCAACAGAGGGAGACCCCCATCTCTACAAAAATATTTTTTAAAAATTAGCTGGGGGTGGTGGAGTGTGCGCCCTTGGTCCCAGCTACTTGGGCGACTGAGGCGGGAGGACTGCTTGAGCCTGGGAGGTCAAGGCTAAGGTGAACTATGGTTATGGTGCTGCACTCCAGCCTGGGCCACAGAGTGAGATCCTCTCTCAAATAAAAACAACAACAACACTTCAATTGACTCCCCACTGCCCTTGAGTCAAAATCCTTTAGTAAGTACGCAAGACACTCAAAAATCTGGAACCTTCCTAGCTTTCTCATAATTTGTCTACCCCAGGCTGGAGTACAGTAGTAGGATCATGGCTCACTGCAGCCTCACCTCCCAGGCTTAAGCAATCCTCCACCTCAGCCTCCTGAGTAGCTGGGACCACAGGAATGCACCACCACACTCAACTAGTTTTTTAAAAAAAATTGTTGTAGACATGGGAGTCTCCCCGTGTTGCTCAGGCTAGTCTCAAACTCCTGGGCTCAAGCAATCCTCTCACCTCAGCCTCCCAAAGTGCTGGGATTACAGGTGTGAGCCCCTGCACCTGGCCCAAAGCCATATGTATATAGTTTTGAAACACAAACAGGACTGCAGGGAATATAATGAAAAACCACGATCTCTTGCCCCATTGCTGACTCCTGTTCCCCAAGGACAACCACTTTCAACTTTCAATTGCTTCTACTAGTATATGTGTACATCTGTGTCTCTAAATAACATGCCTATTTCATTGCTTTTTGTCTTTCCTTTAATACAGAGACAGGGCCTCACTATGTTCCCCAAACTGGATTTGAGCTGCTGGGCTGGAGCTATCCTCCAGCCTCAGCTTCCTGAGTAGCTGAGTAGTCTCAGGTGTGCACCACCAAGCCTGGCTCATGATTTCTTGTTTTTTTTTTTTTTTCTTTTTTTGCCCTATTTGCTATCGCTTATGGACTTTCCACTACCAAAGATGAGGAATGAGGATGTAGGTATTGTACTCCATCCCTCAACTATCTCCTCCCCTCGTCCCCTCAATATGGAAAATCACCATTAAATCAATATTCAGAGTTTGGATTATGACAATGTAGAATACTGTAGGTATATTTCCTTACTTGTAATAACTTTTTTCTTTTTTCTGAAGGTAAGAATGTCCTTGTTGCCTTCTGTGTGGTTTTCAAGAACCTGTCACTGACGCATCCCCAGATTCTCAGACGGGACAGGTGGCCTGGCAGTGGCCTTCCTCTCTCGGCCACATTTCTCCCTCAGCTGACGTGGACAGTTGTGTGTCCACCTTACACCTGCTCTGTGTCCTTGACCTGACTCGCCTTCCCTTCTCCTCCTCCTGGGAGATTCCACGGCCTTGGGGTTAAGTTCTCTGTGTCTTGCATCCCATTCATTCTTCTTTCTTGGCTTCCTGGTGGGATTTGGTGGTGGGATAAATCATGGAGTAGCTTCCGAGAAAGGATGTATCAAGGTTAATTTTTTGAAGCCCAGAATGTCTGAAGATGCCTTTATTTCTACTCTCACATTCAAATATTAAAATAACTCAAAGTTGATTTCTAGACAGGAAATCATTTTCTTTTTTGTTTGAGAAAGGGTCTTGCTCTGTTGCCCGGGCTGGAGTGCAATGGCATGATCACGGCTCACTGCAGCCTCGACCTCCCAGTTTAAGTGATCCTCCCACCTCAGCCTCCCAAATAGCTAGGACTACAAGCACGCACCACCACGCTGGGCTAATTTTTTGTTTTTCGAAAAGACAGTGTCTCACTATGTTGCCCGGGCTGGTCTTGAACTGCTGGACTCAAACGATCCTCCTGCCTTGGCCTCCCAAAGTGCTGGAATTAGACGTTTGAGCCACTGCGCCTGGCAGGAAATCATTTTCCATCGGAGTTGTGAAGGTCCTGCTCTACAGCTGTTGAAAAGGATGGTACTCTTGGTTCCTGACCCTTTCTAGGTACTCTGTTTTTTCCCGCTGGAAGTTCTGAGGTTGTCTCTTGACACTTGGAAATTTAATCAGATGAGCCTTGGGGTGAGTCTTTTTTTATCCTCTGGGCTAGGCATGTGGTGAGCTGTTTGAATCTGGATACTTGAGTTCTGGCAATTTTCTTTTCTAATCATTTCCTATTGCCTATTTCTCTGTTCTTTCTTGCTATTCAGCAAGTTCTTGCTAAAGAACTATTCTTCAGATATTGAATGCCTTGGTCACATCTTCTCATCTTCTTATCTCCAAATTTTTTTTTCTTTTTCTTTTTCTTTTTTTTAAGACAGAGTCTCACTCTGTCACCCCAGGCTGGAGTGCAATGGCATGATCTTGGCTCACTGCAACTTCTGCCTCCTGGGTTCAAGCGATTCTCCTGCCTCAGCCTCCCAAGTAGCTGGGATTACAGGCATGCACCACCATGCCTGGCACATTTTTTGTATTTTTGGTAGAGATGGGGTTTTACCATGTTGGCTCGGCTGGTCTCGAACTTCTGACCTCAGGTGACCCACCTGCCTCGCTCTCCCAAAGTGCTGGGATTACAGGCATGAGCCACCATGCCTGGCCCAAATTTATCTTTCAACAATTCTACTGAATTTTCCATTTCTGTTGTCATACATATTAATTTCTAAAAGCTCTTGTTTTCTGCCTGGTCCATTTCATGGCCTCCTGTTCTTGTTGCACAGATACCATTATTTTCTTCCAAATCTTTGAGGATATCACTTATAATTTGATTTTCCTTTCCAAAGTTGTTTTTCAGCTTCCTATATTCTTTTCACCAAGTCTCTTTTTTCTGTCTGCTAATCTTTGGCTGTTTGGTCACATTTATTTTTACTTATTATTATCATTTTTTGAGACAGGGTCTTGCTCCGTCACCCAGGCTGGAGTGCAGTGGCACAATCACGGCTCACTGCAGCCTCAACCTTCCAGGCCCAAGTGATTCTCCCACCTCAGCCTCCCGAGTAGCTGGGAACACAGCTGTGCGTCACCACACTCAGCTAATTTAAAATTTTTTTTGTTTTGGCCAGGCGTGGTGGCTCACGTCTGTAATCCCAGCACTTTGGGAGGCTGAAATAGGTGGCTCACCTGATGTCAGGAGTTCGAGACCAGCCAACTGGCCTGGCCAACATGGTGAAACCCCATCTCTACTAATCTCTACTGAAAAAAAAAAATTGCAAAAATTAGCTGGGCATGGTGGCATATGCCTATAACCCCAACTACTTAACAGGCTGAGGCAGGAGAATCACTTGAACCTGGGAGGTGGAGGTTGCAGTGAGCCACGATTGTGCACTGCACTCCAGTCTGGGCAACAAGAGCAAAAATTCTGTCTCAAAAAAAAAAAAATATTATTTTCTTTTTCGTAGAGACTGGTTCTCCCTATGTTGCCCATGCTAGTCCCAAACTCCTGGACTCGAGTGATCCTCCTGCCTTGGCCTCTGGAAGTTCTACTATTACAGGTGTGAGCCACCACGCCCAGCTGTGTTCAGTCACATTTAATAGTGAGCCACTAAAACACTAAGTTCTGTATCCTCAGCTGGGGGCCACAGACTACAGAGTGACCAGGAAGAGTCTCAGCTATTTCACTAGAAGGTTCCCAAATATCATAATCTATGTTTCTTTCTGTTAGACTGACCACTTTCCCCAGCAAAAACAAACAAACAAACAAAACTACCCTCCAATTTTCAGCCTGGGGAATGGAGATACCATCTGCATTTAATCTCTTGTTTCTGAGTTCATCCTGGCCTTCAGCTATAGCTTGTGTCCTCAGACCTGGTCCTCCAGCTCTCTCTGCAGCTTCTCAATGTCAGAGGCAGGCATGAGGCTGTGTGTGTGTGTGTGAGTATGTGTGTGACTCTAACTCCCTGCACAAACTTCCAACTTATCTTCCCACTGATCTAAAACCAATGAGGTTTTTGTTTGTTTGTTTGAGATGGAGTCTCGCTCTGTTGCCCAGGCTGTAGTGCAGTGGTGCAATCTCAGCTCACTGCAACCTCCACCTCTCGGGTTCAAGCAGTTCTCCTGCCTCAGCCTCCCAAGTAGCTGGGACTACAGGTGTGTGCCACCACGCCTGGCTAATCTTTTTGTATTTTTAGCAGAGATGGGGTTGCACCGTGTTAGCCAGGATGGTCGCAATCTCCTGACTTCGTGATCCACCCGCCTTGGCCTCCCAAAGTGCTGGGATTACAGGCGTGAGCCACCGTGCCCAGCCGAGGTTTTAATCTCATTCCACACCCATCCTTGGTGCCTCTAATCGCTGAGGCTTTCCAGGGCCCCATGGTGCAAATAAGCCGGCTTCTTGGTGGATTCCTCATCCTGCAGGTGTGGGTTTCGGTTCTCTCGGCTCTGCCATTTATCTACCAGAAACTAAACTTTGATTAACATCTCCCATATGCTGTTTCTCCTCCTCCATTCCTTTACTGTTGAAGGTTTATGCCTTTTTAATACCTTTATTACTATTTTAGTGGGTTTTCAGGAAGAACAGAAATGAACACATGTTCAAGCCACATGTTTAACTAGAAGTGCTCTGCTGTGGTGAATTTCTACTTCTAAGCAGCACGACTGTACTCTTTATTTCAGTTGAAATATCGCGCAGAACAGTGACTGGAGGCCCAGTCAGCCCTTCCACCCTCTTTGGCTCCATTGGGCATCTTCCCCAAACCTGAGAGCCCCTCCAGGCACACTCTGAGCATCTTTACTTCCTACAACCCTTCCACTCCAGCATAACCGCCCCTTACATCCTTCCCCAAACATATCCTTTCCATTCCCACATGCACGCAGCCACCTCCACTGTCCCCCAACCTGGATCATCTTCCTGCAAGAGTTGGAGCCACTTCCCTCTGTGAGGCCTCCTCAATCCTGCTGTTTCGCAGTGATCACTCTTTGCTTACCTCTGGTCTGAGCATTGCTTAAGAGTGACTGATGAGCAAATGGTTGCATTCACCCTGAGCTACTAGGTCCAATGCTTATTGTTCCTGGATAGAAGGACCCATTCTCATACGAGTTTCCTGTGGGTTTCCTATATAGGGATGGCCATGATAAAGTGAATCGTTGGTTCAATCTTGCTCCCCGGGGACTAGCTCTGTAGAGATCATGGCTCCATCTGTAGTTTCAAAATTGTTTTCATCATGGTTAATACTTCCCTGGAGGCAGGACTTCTGCCATTAATGAGAAATGAAAGCTTAAGTATTCGTTCTGTTCTCTCTGGATCCCCTGTGATTACAGAGCAGAAATGAGAGCTAGAGGATCAAAGTTCTTGATCTAAAACTCAGGAAGAACTAATAAACTATGCAGGGTGTACAGGTGAGCCATCTCCCAGGAAAACATGAAAACTACCCTGGAAATAAGACAGCATGATTAGTAGTGTCCCACCTCAACACTGGGAGGAGAGCAAGTCCCCAGCCATCCTTAGAAGATATCACCGAATATCTTTACTTAAATTCCATGCAAATGCTCATTGGGTCAAGGCCTATGTCCCTCCTAGACCAGTGAGGTTAAGAAGAAGCCACAGTAGGCTGGCCGCGGTGTCTCACGCCTATAATCCCAGCACTTTGGGAAGCCGAGGCAGGCGAATCACAAGGTCAGGAGTTCAAGACCAGCCTGGTCGAAATGGTGAAACCCTGTCTCTACTAAAAATACAAAAAATCAGTTGGGCATAGTGGTGGGCACCTGTAATCCCAGCTACTCAGGAGGCTGAGACAGGAGAATCACTTGAACCCAGGAGGTGGAGGTTGCAGTGAGCCGGAGACCGCACCACTGCACTCCAGCCTGGGCAACAAAGCAAGACTCCGTCTTAAAAAAAAAAAAAAAAAAGCCACAGTACACAGAGCTCCTGCTGTTTTAAAGTGCACGTTATAAAGTACACAAAGTATAAGTATGTAATACATACTGTTAAAGTCAATGTTTAATTTGTGACACAATTATAGAAAGTCAAATATTGACTGGGTATTTGATAATATAAACAAAATACCGCTAATGATATTGGAGCTTTACTTTTAATAAAATAATATGTTTTAGAAATATAGTGAAATATGGAAAAATGATGTGTTTGTGTGTTTGGGATTTGCTTCAAAATTACCTAGATCAGAGTGTGGGGGATGGGTGGAGGGTTACAGATCAGGAGCTAGCAAATTTTTTCTATAAAGGGCCACACAAAGTAATTATTTTAGGATTTGCAAGCCATAGAGTCTGCTGCAATTACTCAACTCTGCCAATGAAGTACAAAAGCAGCCAAAAACAATAAGTCAACAAATATGTGTGGCTGTGTTCCAATAAAACCTTATTTACAAAAACAGTCAGAGGGCTGGGTTTTGCCCACAGGCCATCATAGTGTGCCGACTAGTTTGTACAGATGAAAGAAAACCCGCCATGAGTTGATAATTTTTGAAGCTAAATGTTGAGTATGTGGGGGTTTGTAATATTATTCTCTCTATATCTATCTGAAATTTTCCATAATAAGAACATTTTCATAATTTTCATAACAAAACGCTCAACCTGTTTTTATTTTTTATTCTTATTTATTTATTTGAGAAGTCTATGTTTAACTTTCATAACTTATTTGACTTCAAGTCAAAGTGGAAAACAGAGTGAGCACTGATGATGACAGGTTATGAGTTTCATCCTCCAGGAGGTACAGAAAAAAGGAAAACTCAAGCATTCTACTGGAAAACTGGAGCTAAAAGCAGCCCATCCACGGAGAATTATGGGACCAGAAGATGAGGTGGGATGTGTGTGGCACACTCCTGACAGCTGAACCAAACAAGCCACGTGGGCTCTCCTGAGAGTCCCCACTTCCGACAGCCTTTCCCTCCACAAACTCAGGGCAGGGGGAAGTATGTATATTTTATACAGGAGCGCTTCATGGCTACTTCACTGGGAGGTGATTCTTTTTTGAAGCAGAATACATTCCCTTTTGAAAGCTCTCGGGACCAGGAGACACATGTGGAAAGAACTTTCTGTCCCTGGCAGACAGGGAACCAAATCCCTTCTCCTTGAACTTGGATAGTCTTCCCTGTCTTGGAAGCCTCTCTTATCCTTTGGTTTTGGATAACTTGGCGGCATTCTCACAAAGCCCTGCCGAATGAGAAGCACTCTGCCTTTAGGGACAGGCGGGACATGGTGAAACGCAGCAACGCTCTATCTTGGCCTTCCATGTGCCTTTTGTTTCCCAGAGATCCTCTAATAATTCTTTTTTTTTTTTTTTTTTCTGAAACGGAATCTCGCTCTGTCGCCCAGGCTGGAGTGCAGTGGCAAGATCTCGGCTCACTGCAAGCTCCGCCTCCTGGGTTCACGCCATTCTCCTGCCTCAGCCTCCCGAGTAGCTGGGACTACAGGCGCCCGCCACCTCGCCCGGCTAGTTTTTTGTGTGTGTGTGTGTTCTTTTTACTAGAGACGGGGTTTCACCGTGTTAGCCAGGATGGTCTCAATCTCCTGACCTCGTGATCCGCCCGCCTCGGCCTCCCAAAGTGCTGGGATTACAGGCGTGAGCCACCGCGCCTGGCCTAATAATTCTAATATGTCCTAAGACATGGGGGCAATATTAAGGTAAGTGGATAGGAAAAGCAATCAAGTGACCCGGAATAAACGTCACTGTGCTATGCTACCTCTGCAGAAAGGGACCATTTCAAGAAGCCATTGGGTGACTCATGGTGTCAGTTCCAGAGTCTCAGGTCTTCTCAGGGGATGACTTACCCTGGAGGAAGGGGCCGCTCCCAGGTGGTGGTCTTGGTATTGTGATCAACATAATAGACACGTCCATTGGGCAGCTCTCGCTGTTCCCATCTGAAAAATAAAGTCAAGGGTAGCATGAGACACGCAGTGGAAAGGCATAGGCCCCTGTTAGAAAGGAAGACCTTCACCACTCATGTGGCTAATTTACAGGAAGCATCAAAGATGACATGTGAGGTTGACCCAATGGTGAAGCCGGTTCCTGCGTGGCTGAGGGTGCCAGCCAGGAGTGCTTCTTGAAGAAACTATAATAGCTCCCCTGTATGGAATCAATGGACCAGTATCCACTATAGATCACTCTAAATTTCCCTAAAAGACCCGTAGGAATATATATTCCATGGATTTAAAAATCAATTTAGCATTTCTCCACCATTTTACAATCAAAGGTCCCTTTGGAAACATGATGAAAGCTGAGGACCCTTTCCTTTCAAAATGCACTTATGACAAAAATTTGTATTGCAATTTCTGGGTTTCACAGACCCCTCCAAAAGATCATCTATAGGCCCTCCAGCCTTTTTCATCTACCCAACCTGTTAAAGTCACAGATTCTTTATTTTTTTAATGAGACAGGGTTTCACTCTGTTGCCCAGGCTGAAGTGCAGTGGTGCAATCTCAGCTCACTGCAGCCTCCACCTCCCAGGCTCAAGCAATCCTCCCACCTCAGTCTCCCAAGTAGCTGGGACTACAGGCACACATCACCATGCCCAGCTATTTTTATTTTTTAATTTTTGATAGAGACTGGTCTCACCATGTTGCCAAGGCTGGTCTGGAACTCCTGAGCTCAAGCAGAAGATCCGCCCACCTCGGCCTCCCAAAGTGCTGGATTATAGGAGTGAGCCACCGCACCCAGCTTAAAGTCAGATTCTATGACTACCCCCGTTCTCCAAGCATCATATATATTCATGCTTACATTTATTTTTGTAATATAGGATTCATTTACAGAGTATCTTAGAAGAGATCTGGGTGAATACAGAAACACAATGTATTGTTATTTTTTACTGCTCCACCTATGAAGTCAAGTCTGTTTGTAAGCTAATATAAGCTCAAGGTGCTGAGGGTGGCTCATCTGCACTACTGAAAGAATGCCAAAGTAGCAGGTGATTCAGAGATAAGACACAAGCCTGATCAGTACAAAATACAGCCAAGGACCACCCATTCCCCACATTCCTGTTATTTGCATGATGTCTGACAATAACTCTACTTCCCCAGAACATAGTAACCTACATATAAAGGATGTAAAAATGTATTTATATAATGCTTACCACTTTCTCAAGGATATTAATGGTACTGCAGGCCTTTATGTTTTACACTGAATTTATTTACTTCTACTTTTGGGTACTGTCTAGGAGAAATTGACCTTTTCTGGGAAGCTACTATAGTCAGTTCTGCTGTAATGCTTGTTTTAAAAATGCAAATCTGTTCCAATGCTACTGATACAGAGAAGCGGACAATGTGAGCATAATGGAAATTCTGTTTGCTTATGCATGATTTTGTCTTTGAGAAACACTAGATGAACACAGAAAACTTCCCCCAGCTAAACCAAGTGACACAAGAATACACAAAACCCACAGGTATCTAGCAGCCTCCTCAGTTTACAGTGTATTAATAGGCTACACCGTCAACATCTGAAGTTACAACTCCCATCTGACTTCAGATAGCCCTCCATGCACCAGTTCACAGTAATACTCACAAGCTCCAACTTATGACACCTGCTTCCACAAGCAAACTTCAGGTCTTCTCAAGAGAAAATGCCATATTTACTGTAGTGTTATCTATTTCGTAATCATTTAACATGTGTAAAACTGCTATCATTATTAGGTTCCTATTTTTTTTTAATGTGTCACTGACAAACTTTTTTAGCATTACATCCTACTCATTTTTCCCCATAAGCCCTGTGGTTTTTATCCTCTTAACATATTTTTCTTTTTATTTTTTTAAAGATAGAGTCTTGCTCTGTTGCCCAAGCTGGAGTGTGGTGGTGTGATCATAGTTCACTGCAGCCTCTGATTCTTGGGTTCAAGTGATACCCCTGCCTCAGCCTCCCAAGTAGCTAGGGAAACAAGTGCGTGCCACCAGGCCTAGCTAATCATTTTATTTTGTAGACATGGGGTCTTGCTTTGCCCAGGCTGGCCCTGAACTTTTGGGCTCAAATAATCCTCCCACTTCAGCCTCTCAAAGTGCTAGTATCACAAACCAACGTAACTAGCCCCTCTGTGTTTTAACTGCAAAATTTTGCATCACGCGGTGACTTTTAGGGGCACATATGTTAGAGCAGAGCTAACTGTATATGAACAAAAGTGTCCTAACTTCTACTATTAAGCCTGATGTATCTACACTGGTAGATATCACCTGTACTTAATGCCATTTCTCATTTAAACTGGGATGTCTGGTTAGTGGACTGCATTGATCAGCCCCTCAGAAGCTAGTCCAGAAACAGATACATAAGGCCAGGCACAGTAGCTCACGCCTGTAATCCCAGCACTTTGGGAGGCTGAAGTAGGTGGATCATGACGTCAGGAGATGGAGATCATCCTGGCTAACACGGTGAAACCCCATCTCTACTAAAAATATACAAAAATTAGCCAGGCATGGTGGCGGGCACCTGTAGTCACAGCTACTTCGGGAGGCTGAGGCAGGAGAATGGCATGAACCTGGGAGGCGGAGCTTGCAGTGAGCCGAGATCGTGCCACTACACTCCAGCCTGGGCGACACAGCAAGACTCAGTCTCAAAAAAAAAAAAAAAAAAAAAAAAAAGGAACAGATACATAAGGTTTTCAAGGTAAGGAAGAAGCAGAGGAGGCACCATCACCACTGAGAATCTACCATGAGCTACAGGCTTACACCATGTATGCAATCCTTGCCTCCATTCTTTAAGGTGGAATTACCATCACCACTGAGGAAACTGAGGCTCAGAGAAACTATGTAACTCTTCAATGGGATTCAAACTCAGCTCTGCCCCCCAAGCCCATGAATTTCACCATGCTTTGCAGAAAGGAAGAACGGGAAGAAAAAGAAGATGAACTGAAATTTATAGGGGCTCTTCCACATGGCCACCATGTGCCAGATGCCTTCCCAATGTTGATCTCAAAGTGAGCAGCTTTCCTAGCACTGGCATCGAGGTAGGATCAAAATGACTAGGGAGGAATTATACAGGTTGAGTAGGCCCTTCTCTAGATGCTTGGGACCAGAAGTGTTTCAGATTTTGGACTTTCGTTTTCAGATTTTGGAATATCTGCAGAATACATACCAGCTGAACATCCCTAATCTGAAAACCTGAAATCCGAAATTCTCCAGTGAGTATTTCCTTTAAGCATCATGTTAGAACTCAAAAAGTTCTGGATTTGGGGGCATTTCAGCACAGGAACGCTCAACCTGTAATGGGTCCACAGTCCTCATTTCTAGGTTCCATTTTAATCACAATCCTTTGCTCAGATCTGATTTTCCGGACAAAGGTACACATTTTGCACCACTAGGAGGCCTGGCCCTAAGAACAGTGAGATCTGGAGGTTCTATACACCCCTCAAAGTGGACAACTCTTGGTTGAGGACTAGAGTGCTACTGTTTAAAGACAAACATTAGACAAAATAAATTTAACCAAGTTTATTTAAGAATGATCCATGAACTGGGCAGCACTCAGAACCAGGAGAGGTTCAGAGAGCACTGCCAAGCAGTGAGAGGAGCAAGTCTTTAGAGGCTGAACATGGAAGCAGGGTAGAGAAATCATCTAAATGGCTACAGCTGGGCATCTGCCTTAATTGGGCATGGTCTGATCAGCCACCTGCCTGTGACTGGCTGAAACCCAGCTATTTGTTACAAAAAACATACACTCCTAATTTGGGTTTTGGTTGGTTTCCGTAGTAAGTTAGGTTGTAGTTCACTATGTAAGAACTTGAAGTACAGAGACAGCCTCAGGCTAATGGCCTCTTGCTCACTTATTTAACATGGCAAACACCATTAAATAGCACCTAGGGATGTTTTCTCTCCTAGGCATTCTTGCTCAAGGCTCTGACTGATGAGAATCCTGGGGATTTGACCCAGATGCCCTGGTTCCTCCCATTGCAAAAGGGAGATTTTCATATTCCCTTTAGTATTTTACCAAAAGGGCAGGATCTGGCAAAAGTGGTCAGATGAAAATGCACACTAGGGCCAGGTACAGTGGCTCATGCCTGCAGTACCAGAACTTTGAGAGGCTGAGGCAGGAGGATCACTTGAAGCCAGGAGTTTGAGGCCAGCTTGGGCAACATAGCAAGATCCCATCTCTATAAAAAAAATTTTAAAAATAGGCAGATGTGCTTGCATATACCTGTAATCATACCTACTCAGGAGACTGAGGCAGAAGGATCACTTGAGCCCAGGAGTTGGAGGCTGCAGTGAGCCATGATCACACCACTGCACTCCAGCCTAGGCAACAGACCCCAACTCAAAAAAAAAAAAAAAAAAGAATGAAAGAAAGAAAATATGCACTAGGAATAGTCAAAGATCTTCTCCCTCTGAATGCCCTTCTGATTTGAAGACAAAGGAGTAACAATATTGCCAGCTCAAGAGGCTGGTGTTCCATCTGTGGGGATTTGGCAGGGCCTTCTAGCACAGAAGGCAGCCGACATACTGTAGCTTCACAGCAATTCTCCAAATACCTTCTGTCTGCTCGGTAACAGAGGAGCAAATCTGATACCCTCTTTATTCATCTGAATTTGGAAATGAAGAAAGTCCTGAGAAAGATATTTGGCTTAAGGGTAAGTATTAAAAAATGAAAGCGCTGAGCGCCAATGGCAGCAAGCCTCTCTTTTATAACATCTGCTCCTAATGCGATTTAAGTAGCTGAGAACTCTCCAGCACTCCCTAAGAATTTATCCTGCATCCTTCCCTTCCTTGAAAACAGTTCTTTGGGCAGTTTTGTGGCACAAAAGCCCTAATACTAGTATGCTCATTTTTCAGTCACTATTTGGAAAACTCTAATATTTGAGGGGCTGCCCCTTTTATTAAAGACAAAATATCTGTTAAGTAGCAATTGGAGTTTAAAAACAAAACTTAAACACATTTTTCTTTATTCTTTT